TCATTCAGGAAAATACTGCAGCATTAACAGACATGCTGGCAAGTCAGTCTGGATGTGAAATCTTATAATTCTATGTAATTACCGTAATAATGTCATCAATCCATGTTTATCACATGTTCTTCATTAATTTATCACTTCTGGCTCATCTCTATTATTCTGCTTCATTAATATATTCATTTTATTGTTATAGATTCTATAATATAATACATAATTTATAGACTTCATAATGACTCTGCAATGTGATGGGCCTGTTTATTTATTCTAAGTTAAAGTTAATTTACTGATGCTGTGAAGCAGCCAGTCTGTGTCAAAGTCATTAATTTATATTTATTTAAAGTCTTCAGTCCCTGAAAATGAGAACATCCTGGTTGTTCCATGCTGCAGCGCACTGATTGTTTACACTGAAACCGGTCTAACTAGGGAGTACCAATATGGCGGCCGGTGGCTACCAACGGCCAATCAGCAATCCAGGAAACAAAGACATCAGTGAGCTACACACACATCTATGTGTTCTAGATCTGTGGTTGAGTATCAAACTCTCCCTGAAAGGAGGACCAGTGGTTCTGGGTTCCTGGATCACTGCAGAACCAGAACTTTCTGTGTCCACCATCAAACAAAGAAACCTCAGTTCTGTTTCTGATTTAATGATAGTATATTGATTTATATAATGGATGAAGCTAATGTTGATATTCTATGGTTAATAATGACTGATAAAGATCCTCCCTCTGTGTATCACTGCTGCCCCCCTCTGGTTCAGAGTAGAACTGCAGTTCCTGAGGTGCTGCTCAGCTCCATGCTGCCACCTTCAGGCTGCTGTCCTCCATTACAGCAGAGGGTGAATGAAGGTGGTCTGGGTTCTGCCTGTAACAGGAACCACTGATTGGACCTGAACACTGGTTCTGGTTCTGCTGGAGGTTTCAGGCCTCAAACCAGGTCTAAACTAAAATAAACCATCTGTGTAATAACTGATAAACTGGACTCTAACTGGGATTAAACTGGTTTCTGGGTTTAAATGCAGAACAAGCAGGTCTAAATGGAACCAGAACCAGCCAGAGTGGAACCTCTGCCCCCTGCAGGTTCCACCTGGGAGGGGATAGGGCAGAGACCTTGGATCCCAGAGGTTCTGAGTTCAAGCCCCACAGACTGCCTGGACCCAAGGCTGGAACTTAGGGGTGAGAGCTGGTGGGGGGGGCACTCTAAGGGTGGGGGCGCTCTAAGGGTGGGGATGCTCTAAGGGTGGGGATGCTCTAAGGGTGGGGGCGCTCTAAGGGTGGGGATGCTCTAAGGGTGGGGGCGCTCTAAGGGTCCCCTTTCATTCAGCAAATGAATTCCTCAACAGTTAGTTATCAAATTAGTGAGACAATTTCAAAGTGAGTAACATAATTTAATAAAATAAAATTTTAAAGCTCTCCTAACATGTCTGTCAGCGTGCTGACTGCTTCCCTCTGAACATTCAGAACATTGGAAAAGGCTCCATGTGGATCTGGCAGTCTTTGTAATTCCCCTCCAGTCGAAGGACCCGGATCCTGAACCTCTGGTTCTCCTTCAGGGTGCTGACCATGTGGACTTTCCCAGTCAGTGCTGTAGTCCATGTCAGCCTAAAGGAGATTCATCCAATCCGTTTAAGAACTTTGGAGCCCAAACACAATTAATGCTCAGACCTCATCCAGACCTTTCTACTTCACTGTAAGGATCCAGGTCCAAACTCCTCTGGTACCGGTTCTGTCTGGGTCAGAGGTCAACCTGCTGAAGGTGAGCAGGAAGGTTCTGGATCTCTGCACTA